GCAAAAACGGAATGAATCTTCCGCTGAAACGTGGAAATATACACTGCCACTTTTTGAGCAAAATCGGAATGAATCGTTCGTGTGTGTGTGTGTGTGTGTGTGTGTGTGTGTGTGTGTGTGTGTGAGAGAGAGAGAGAGAGACCATAACTCTCCAACCTCGCTACTGGCAGTAGCCGCCCGAAACCGCTCCCCGCATTCGAGTGCTGCAATAGCGCTGCCCATCGCGACCCGGCAAAGAGGACCCCGCCAATCTGCCCCGCCAATCTGCCCCGCCAACCGCCGCCCCCCCCCGATGTATCTTCCCAACCTCGCAGGACGGATTCAGATCCGGTTTAGCTGCTGCACACTTCTCTAAAGAACGGGGCTCACGGGTCCCCGAAAAAAGTGTCCTTCGGGACATCCGTTAAAATTGGAACGATACAGAGAAGATTAGCATGGAAAAAAAAAAAAGTGGCGCTGTATCTTCCCCGCCTGCCAGGAGACATTCGGATCCCCCTTCCCCATCGACACTAAAAAAACAAAAAACTGGCGGTGTATCTTCCCCGCCTCCTGGGAGACATTCGCTTCTTCTTTCCTTCTCGGCCCTTGCCTTGCCTCCGGGTACACCGTCGGGTCCCCCTTCCTTGCTGCCCGACAGCGGTCCCGCGTGGCTGCGGCCGGTTTCTTTTGGGCCCCACGCGAGGACCGCTTCTTCCTTTAGTAGTATAGAGATAGAGAAGAGAAGAGAAGGGGTAGAGCTGTGCAGCATGAGACGGCCTAAGAAGGAATGTGTGCCACATTTGTACAACATTTATCTGACATGTGATTGATATGTGTCATGCCTGTGGCATACTGACAGGTTTTTGCCTTGTGAACCTTGCAGTGCATCAGTGTGACACGTCCTTGATTGATGTCTGTACCATGTGTGTGGCGTTGGAGTCAGAGAGTGACGTGCGGCCAACATGTGCTTGACATCTGAATCTTCCACCACATCTCACTGTGGCAAGTGTGCAAACTCTGAAGCATGTGTGAGAAACGGAAGTCATGTCATTCTCAGTCTGTTTGTCATCGACAAAAATCTCATCCAGTCCATAAACAAATACATCCTGGCAGTCAAGTTGGCAGTCATCCAACACCGACGAACCAATCATATATCATATACAGTCTATAATACAGATAATGAATGGTTCTATTAAACTATTGATCAAGTATCATGACTGACATATTTACATCTTCCTCTCCTGCACACTCGGACAGAAAAGTAAGCACTGGGGAGTGGTCCTCACCATCACTGCAGCAGGGTTCTCCATTGTTCTCTCCTTGACAGTTTTACAAGGAAAGGGCAAAATTGTTTGTGCATATTTTATACTCCTTCACATTGAGGGAACCAGGACAGCCAAGCGGCTTTTTATTTATCTACTGATTTATTGACAGACAGAAGGGATATTAACTTTTTTCCCCATTAACCTTGCAGCCAAGTGGCCCCTTTCCCAGCCCCCCTCCAATTCAGGTACGTGCAGAGTGGATCGCTGAAATTTCGTTTCAACCCGGAGCTCGGAAGCTTTGAAACTTGTCTTAGTTGTCCAGCAGAAGTGATGTTGCACCCCAGCCAACCATTGTAAGGACTCTTCGTGTCTTCGTCCTTGACTTTGCCATTCGCCTCCGCTGTTCAAATGCTGACATCTTTTCCTGCTTATTTCTCACATCGTCCTTCTGCTGGCCGACCCTCTCTGGCTGCCTGCTCTTCTTCTGTGGGCAGTGACGAGCACAGTTGCAGTCTGAGAAATCTGCAGTTTTCTGAGAAAAGCCTGTCTTTTTAACCTTATTGCTAACATTTCCGAATCTGAGTCTGTGTTGCATACTGTGACTGTGCAGACCAGAACAAGAACCGACCTCTCAATACAAAGTACAAGATGGCACAACGGAAGACTTAGATACCAGTGATCCGAACAATCAATATTGCAATGCAGCCCTGAACATATATCATCATCATCGTTACATGGTGTGAATGGGGTCTGGCGCTTCACACAGGAAGACTGCGCCAGCCCCTACCATACACAGAC